ATGTTCATTGTACACAACGCAATTTTTTTAGACGTGTTATGCGTTCAACTTTGGTTTGCTTTGGTGACTAATTAAGACATTTAAATCAGATCTTTTGAAATCAGGCAATGTTTAAGACGGTGTTTGGGAGTGATCAACTTGTGGATAAAGCAATTTCTACAAAAACTGAAAGTAAAAGTACTTCATAACTGCTTCTCTGATACGGTGTTCCATGTACAAAATAATGATGGAAAAAAGCAGAAACTGACATACCAAACAGAATAAAACCACTTCCACTCAAAGCAGAAGCTAAACTCTTAAACACATCGCACTACCAAGCAACCTCTTAATACCACTCAAACTCTGATTTGTCCATTTTTCTTTCTTTCAAGCTTTCGGTATCAGATATAATCTCTAACATACAAAGAAGTGATGAAATAAAGTGAATTGTTTTCTCATGCATCCAAAGAGAAATGACTAAATTGTGAGCATTTCAACCGAAAATAGGATAATACAAACGAAATATAACGTAAAAAAACGATACAATAAATATAAAAGGAAATAAAATAGCAGCCAATTAGAAGGCCAGTTACATATGGAAATCCAACATTTATCCATACAGATACACACCACCAAAGAGGCAAGTCTGGAGGGTAATTTGTGTCACAATTATTATACAGTATGTTGTCATAAACTGGACCTTTTATACGAGTATATAGTATATAAAAAAGGGCTCATTTTGTTTTCATTTTTAGCTGCTGCAATGCTTAGTTATTGCCGAGTGCAGCTCATCTTTCTTTGCACCCACCACCCTCTCCGCCACTTCCTTTCCCTCTTTCAGGAACACAAAAGTTGGCATTGCCTGCACATCGTACTCCTGTGCAACAGCCTACACGAAGATTTTTGGATTTGATTTCTCATAACTATTGGAAATCATAGATTCTCTGGTTATTTTTAAGATTTTATTTGTAGAGGGACTTCAAGGCTTACCTCTAGCTCGTCAACGTCGACCTTTAGAAAGATTGCACCGGGGATTTTCTTCGCAATGTCAGAAAAGGTTGGACCAATCACGCGGCAAGGGCCACACCAAGATGCAGTGAAATATATCACAACCTATACGTTTTACATCATCATAACGCAAGTCAATCGTTGCAAAAATTCACCATTAGTTTTGAGAGAAGAAAAGGGAGAAAAAAATCACACATGTAACTACAAACTAAACACCTCCACATTTCTAGTTGATGTAGTTTGAGAGACGGTGTAAGAAGTGAAGGCCAAAGAAAGAATGAGGTATCTAAACGGATTTGGGCCTATAGTCCATAATGATTAGTCCAATGCGGGTTAGGGAGTCAACATGTGCACGTGGCCAAAACGACCATTTCCGGCTAAGGAGATAATGGGCCGAGCCAAGCAACAGCTGGCGAGGCCTACAAAGGCCGAGCTTGAAAGGAATTGAAACTTTGTTGATCCATTTACAAAGCACATGGCTCCCTCCAAGCTATGGGCCTAGCACAGTGGTGACCAATCCAGCGTTCCGTCACAGTGTAACCATAACTGGTTTTAGTAGTTTCCTTCAAAGAAATCTTAGAAATAGTCCACCGAAACACAATCTAATCAACCTAACACATGAATTTCTCCAAACAGACCGGCACAAAAGAATAACTGTAAAAACTAGTTAATCAAAAAAAATGAGAAAAACGATGCTTTGTACCTGGTATAACATAACACAAGTTAACGGAGCTAAAAAAGAAAACTAGTGATAACACTTTAAGAATAGCTAATATCAAAATCAATTCTGACTTGATTAAGTAAACAAATTTGCCAAAAAAAACACTAAAGAGAATGTTATATTAAGAAAATGTGAATATGCAATTAAAATTAGGGAAATGTAAAAAAAATCATTCATGTATAAAGAGACATTTTGAGAACATTTTTGCTTTAGACAAATAATGAACTAAATCAAAATGACACATTTAACAATGTATTAGCTTTTGGATAGGATATGCAACATTTCATCTAGGGTTTAACGGGAACAACCTCGCTCTTTTTCAAGGTTAAGGTTGCGTACATTTTGACTCTAGACTCCTACAGGTTTGAAATCATACTGAGTTTGTTGTTTGTATAGAAAAAAGATCAAATATGAAAAATTACACATAAAGTAGATATATACGAGTGAAACTACAAAATACAAGTATATACAATCAAAGAAAAAAAATTGTAGATTTATAATTCCTCCGTGAAATTCTTTAATTTGGTAACATAGGTACCTCTATTTACCTCCATTGACAACATGACATTAATGAGATGATAACAACATTATGAAATAACAAGAGCCACTGCATTTCATAAAAGACTTGCTATCCTAAAAAGTAAAACTAATAGGATAGCAAGTCTTTTATGAAATGCAGTAGCTCTTGTTAGCTCAGCTTTTTTTGTTAAAAGCTGAGTTAACAAGAGCTCATGTTAACTCAGCTTTTCTTAACAACAAAATCCCCAATTCCAAACCTCACTCGCATGCCCAATTACTAAATCTAAAGACTAAAGAGTACAGTAATGCAACACAACTTAAGTTAGATCACAAAAAGTATAACGCAAGACAAAGTCCACTACGTACTAAATCCCCAAAACTGATTCATGAGAAAGAAACCCCTTGGATCAGAGAAAAACAGAAAGTATGGATCTAAGAAGGGAGGGGGAGTGGGAAAGGGGGACAAGAAAAACGAGATTCTCCTACTATCTGTGCTCGTCATACCGGTTTTTTGCTCTCCAAGCCATTTGTATAATGCTCATTCCACCGATCCAATGTATTGCAGGCAATCACCTTGTCACAAAAATACAAATCTCAGAATCATAGAACAAACAAAGCAGATCACTTTCTTACCAATGCTCCTAGACAGATCAGAGACAATACCTGATTTTCAATCTGAACGCCTTTCCCCTCCTTCTCCTTGCCCTGATCCACGGCATCGGAGCTGCTGATAACCTATCCCGTAGAGAAAAAACACACTAAGATCAAATCCCCTAAAATCATACAATCAAAACCCTAGGCTAAATTGGAGAACTAAAGTCAAACTATCAATGCGCATCTAAACTGATGATACCGGAATCGTCTTCTCATCCTTCTCCCTCCCCTGATCCACATCGTCATTCCCCTGTTCCGAAACGCCAAAACACTAAGATAGAATCCAGAGATTGCAAAATTCAAACAAACAGAAGAAGAGATTCTACACGCTCATCGGAAGAGATGCTGATACCTGAATTTCGATCTGAACGGACTTCTCCTCCGAAGCAGCGGCGGCGGCGGCCATTTTCAGGTAACCTGAAAGCTTTTATGAAAAGTTGCAAAGAATCCAAAGATTGCTTGCTAATTTGAGCTTCCCAGTCGTGAGGATTTCGAATATTATGCCGCCCCGTATATATAAGCGAACCAAGATGAATGTGTAATTACAGAAATGTGACTCGTTTGGGTCTTTATTACGGAAAATGCCATCCCGCGTTTACCTTATGTCAGTCGGGGCGTCACTTTGAAGCCTCCGTTTCTTTTTGCGATTCTGTCGGCACAATGGACCTTCAAGAAATTTACTGTTAACTCAAGAGGCCGAATTAAGCCTAGTTTTCCACTTATGAAAGACATTGATTTTCGATTAGTGTTAATATTTTGGATAAAATTTTAATGACGTGAATTAATTTTGAAAACACTTACGTAAAAGATTACCGTTAGATAGCCTTTTTAAAACGCTAACGTTTACCTCTAACGCTGAGAAGTAATCGGTTCAATCCATACAATGGAGGTGATAACTTTCATTATTATAATATATTGAAAAAGTATGTATGAATAAATACTATAATTGTAATAGAGTTATAAATGCTCAAAAAAATATGTTAGTCGATTTCAAATCCGTACACGAAGCGATGAGTTAGAGATACAAAACTAGCGATAGGGATGTGATTCCAAATCATATACTCCCTCCGTCAGTCTGTCTATAAATCTTCTTGTTCACTATTGACAATATCAAAATTTATTTACTTTGTTTGTTTATTTTCGACGCACATTTGATAAAAAAAATATAATCATATCTCCTCTAGTTTTGTAGATCGTTTGATATAGTCTAAAATATATAATTTTTATTTTTTAATTTCGCACCAATTTTCATATAAAATGTAAAAATAATAATTTCAATCAAACATCGTAACACACAATGAAAAGAAAATTTATGGAGGGAGGGAGTATATTTTTGGAATTAAAATCGACAATTGCGATCCACTTCTTTGTTCCATTAAATTGTGCATCTTTTGAAAACAATTTTTCTACTTTAATTTTGTGTAAGATCTACATATATATATATTATTATATATACACCCACCGCAGAATTTCAATGAGTTGGTTATTGTTGTTGTATTTATGATTTAATAAGTGAAAATCTTATTTTTAGAGGAAAATTGTTGTTTGTTACCATAAAAATTTGTTTTTTTATTAGTCCATATCAAAGGCAGCAGCCTTAGACATCAAACTTTGCAGCAAAAATTTTAACATCATCATCATTAAAGCCCAATCACCACACCAGCTAGTTTATTTTACTTCACTATCCAAACCAAATACGGAGTACATAGTACAAAAGTTACTCTTAGCTTGAATGATGACATTCTTATTCAAAGTTGGATCCAATAAAAAATCTCATTGCGTAGTGCATACAGATATAGATAAGTGTATATATATAGTATGACAAAATATGCTAGGGTGTCTATCTAAATACACAATGAAATTTACACTAAATAATACTAAAACATGTCTTTTCTCAATATAGTAGCTAAAACTTTTTATTTCCTAAATAATACTTAATTATAGTACCTAAACCCCTATATTAAATGATAGTTATGGTGGAATGGGCGGGAGAGGAAAATTCCAGTTCTAAAATGCAAACTATAGTTACGGACGAGGGGTATTTTTGTATCTTTAGACTAATATTAAATACTCTGTAATTAATTATTTAATTAAGTAGTCCGTAATATTTAGGGAATTTAAAACATTAAGTACTATATTGAGAAAATAACTATGATTTAGTACTATATAAGTGAATTTCTCGCCGCCTTCTCTTCCTCCATCTTGGACTAAGAGAGCTGCTCTTATGCCATCATCATGTGCTCCATACTTTTCTCATGGACAAATAATTGCTACAAAACTTGATAACTTCAACAAGCTGCTACACACATTTCTCTTTTAACTTGGGTAGTAAGATCCATCCTTCTCCTTCTCATCTTGCAGTGCTACAAGTGTCCCATTTCCACTTTTCTGTAAAACAAAATGCCCTTTTAATGAAATGTGTACTACTCAAGGAGGTAAAAAAGTAAGTGGAAAAGTTTTTTTTTTTTTTTTGGAATAGAGAACAGAGTGGACCATTTAGGACTATGGCATGGCATACAATTGGAGGGAAGAAGAGTTTTTTTGGGACAGCCAAGATTTAAAAAAAAAGTTGGGACACACATATATAACAAGGAGAATGGTTGTTTAGGAGCCAACCTTGAGACAGAGGTTGTTAGTTGAATCACATATAGGGTAATCCCCAGGGCAACAGTGTTTGCCATCTTTGCAGCAAACTGCAGAAGAAGCAGATTCGGCTGGTGCGCCGCAGCACTTCCATGAAAGGCAAATCCCAAACACCTTCCAAACACAGCAACAAGTCTCGCCGCTGCCACAGTAAGCGAAGACGCTGCACCTGGTGGGGCCCGGACGAGGGCCGGGCGGGTTAGGGGTGGTCTTGGTGGGATAAGACGCGAGCATGTTGACCCCACACATCCCTTCCGGGATGCCCGTGTTACGCTGCATGTGCATGTAACCCTTCATCCCCCAACTCGTCCCCCAAGAATTCTTTATGATCCAATACTCGACGCCATTCTCTGAACCGTACCCCACAATCAATACTGCATGGTCTAAATTTGTCGAGCACGGCCCATCGAATATGCCCTGTGGAACATGACCATTTTTATTAACACAGTGGTTTTAGTCTATATCTTTATATTTGTTAGATTGATGAGCATTGATCAATCCTTTGACAGAATTTTCTTTACCCGATGTTTGGTTCAAGGAATTTGAAAGAGAAAAGAACAGAAAATGGAGTGGAAAATAGTTTTTCTTGTTTGGTCACAGAGGGAAAAAAGGAAAAGTGGAAGGAAAAGAAAATGAGAAGACAATATGTACTAAGAAGAGGGAAAACCAAATTCCTCCGATTTTGGTGAGGAAAATGATAGAAAACTATTTTCTTTTCTTTTCCTTCCAAATTCCTTGAACCAAACATAGTGTTAAGGTTTTCTTAAGAAAGAAAACTGAAAATAGAAGAAACAGGTGGAACAAACCTTTGAATAAAGCTGAAAAGCTCTCTCACTCCCACAAATACCAACACTCACAGGCTGAGAGGCCACTGCTTTTAGTAGCTGCTTCTCATTATTGGAGGGCACATCTTTATATCCATCAATGCTAACAATATGTCTTTTCAACTGCAACAATATAAAATTCATCGAGAATGATTATATATCTTTGAGAAACTGCTATTTGCGACATTATCTACTATTTGTAACAAAGAAGAAAAAACAATAGAAGTACTGGTTTGTGGTCGTATGTAGTCTAAATAATATTTGGGGGAACCACGTTAACTTTCTTACTAGCATTTATTTAACTGCACCCCAACAAATGGCAGTACAATCAACTAAATGGCTTTTGATTACGACATAGGTTGTTAATGATTATCCTAATAAAGCCATCTTATGCATACCTTAGCTTGGTTGCAAGTGTTTTGTGCTCCTTGATAGGGGTAATCCTCTTCAGTGTCAATGCCATTGTTTTTTAACACAAACTTGTATGCATAATCCATAAGTCCACCATCACAACCACTGTTGTAAGATTTGTCGCAGTCAATAAGCTCTTGTTCAGATAGGCTGACCAGAGAACCAGTCACAATCTGGTTTATACCCTCTATCGCACCCGTGGCTGAGAATGACCAACATGCCCCTATCGTTTAAAATGAAAATAAAAACCAATTGATTACTATGGTATGCATAATAAGATAACTTTATAACGATAAATGACCTATGAGTATGTCTTGACTCAATATGCATACTCTTTCAATTTCAACATAACAACAACAGTCCAATAAAATCCCACAAAAAGTGGGATTCGGGGAGTGTGTATGCCTTACCTCTAAAAGGAAGTAGAGAGGTTGTGATACGTCCCACGTATCGGTTGGGGAGGATCTTCGAGCGTCCTCGGACTCCTAGAGAGAGAGATAATGTAAACTAGGGTTTTTACTTGTATTCCTTCAATGCCTCTTACGAAAGGGATACATCAAGTATATATAGGAAAACCCTAATTCAACCCTAAAGATTCTACGTTATCTATCCTGACGGTTCAATAAAAGCGACGAGGTAAAGAACCGTAAAGAAACCCTCGAAGGAGCTTATAAA